GAGAGAAGGGGGAGAAAAGGTAGATACGCGTTGAGGAGATGAATTCTTTTCGAACACTGTGTTCCCCGTGAATAGGTGAAAACGCGCTCGAGAATGGAAGTTTAAGTGGAGGTGAAAAAACGCTTCGATCTTTTTCTCGACGTCGCTCGATCCCGAATCTAGCGAAATACTTCGATCTTCGAGAGATCTTCTCTGGTAATGGAATGGAAACATCGGGGTTCTCGAAACGAGGACGACCGACCGATAACCTAATGGTTTCGATGAATTATTCACGAGACGTGTAATTAAAGATATCGGTTACGAAAGAAAGACGCGGCGCGTGGATCGACTATCGACGAGGACGTTGACAAACCGAGAGACGGAGAGAGAGAATGAGAGAGAGAGAGACCGTCTCGTTTAATCGGACCCGATATCTTTGCAGATCGACCGAGGAACAACTCTGAACAAGAGATGCAGCGGTGTCCGTATCTCCACGAGATGAAGGAGCGCCTGCTCTCCCAGCCGACACCGACGGACAGCCTGGACATGGAACGACTCGACGGCACTCCCGTCAAGGAGCCCAACCTGCACACCGATTATCCTGCCCACACCAATCCTGGAGTGATACCCGATCCCCCGGAAATGCCGCCCGACTCGCTCATCGGCACGGTCGTCAAGGTAACTTGGACCACTTACTTTCGCTTTTCTACCATTCTCTCTCTGTTTCATCGATTTTATAAACACCAGTTATAATTAACCTTATTTAATTGCAATATAATCTCTTACGCGATCTTTCTTACGCGATCCCTCGACAGATTTCGCTTTTAAATAGGAGAATATTTTTTCTTGGAAAACCAGTGTCAACGTTTTATTCTGTGATAATGTAGCGTGGAAATCCTTGACGAAGGGATCACAGAAAATATTCAAATATATATATATATATGTAGGAAAGATGGAGCAACAGATATAATCTCAAGTGTTGGAATTCGTTATTTTCAGTTGAATTCGGATGGTTACGGCTCGCATACGTCGCCGGCGCACGCGAGGCAGCCTTTAGTGCCTCAAAACGCCAACAACCCACCCCTCTGCCTCACCCCTACGCACTCGGGCCCAGCGACTGGCACGCTGCCAAAGAACGCAAAGTGAGTACATATTCTTACGAGCGCAACTTCTTAAGATCCTCGAGGTGACGAAAGGTGCCCTCGCGAGACGGGACGCGATTTCGTAATGCTTTTCTCTGCATCTCCTCTAATTGCGTTTACACGCCCGCAACACGAGTTGTCGCAAACTCCTCCTCCTCCTCCTCCTCCTCCTTCTCCTCCTCGTCCTCTTTGTCTTCTTCGCACGACGATAAAAATAGGGTATTACGGGAACGTGCGTTGGCGGAAAAATTAAATATCGACAGGTTTCCCGCCAAGGTCGAATATAATTTGCACGCGACTCGAATGATAATGGAAGCGTGCAGGTTGAATCACGTGGCCACGTGGTTCCGCTATGGATAACGAAAATCCTTTCCACTCGGACCGAAATAACACGGGTTTTACGATCTCGTCGCGTAACAGACATCGATGGAGCATGGCTACGTTTGCGAGCAATCGTTTATTTTTGGAAAGATCGTGTTCACGTTTAAGTGGAGGAAAACACCCGAAAACCTGTTTCAAATAAATAAATTCCAAGGATAATATTTGAATAGTTAGAATTTCGAAAGAGGAATTTTAGCTCGAATTTTTAATTAGGCCAGCGAATAAAGAATCGAATCGATTATCTTCGATTCGCTCTCGACTAAACTAAACACTAAACAAAAACCTGTTTCAAATAAATAAATTCCAAGGATAATATTTGAATAGTTAGAATTTCGAAAGAGGAATTTTAGCTCGAATTTTTAATTAGCCAGCGAATAAAGAATCACTAAACACCCGAAAACCTGTTCCAAATAAACGAATTCCAACGATAATATTTGATTAGAATTCCGAAAGAGGCGAATTTTAGCTCGAATTTTTAGTTAGTCAGCGAATAAAGAATCGACATTCGGCTTCGATTCGCTCTCGAGTGATTAACGAAGCGAGCGAATTTTTGAAAAGTACACCGAAGAACACGCATATAGGGAACAGAAAGTTGCAAAGTTTCGTTATCTCGACTCGTTATACGAGGGAACATACTCCGCATGGAGATTTATGCTCGTTAATATGCGCGGTTAAAGAGGAACGCCATTTTGAATCAGCCCTTCGGCGATGCGGGATGCAGAAGGTAAGCCGCGTCGACGACCTCGAGATGCAACTCGAGGCCGATCCAAAAAAAAAAAAAAACCAAACGAACTTGCTCGAAAATCTCTTTAATAAAGTTGATAACGCGTTTAATAAATAAAGAATCGATCTTCGAATCGATTATCTTCGGTTTCGATTCGATGTCGACTAAACTAAAATCCAAAAACCTGTTTGAAATAAACGAATTCCAACGATAATGTTTGGTAGAATTTCGTTTGAATTCTATGCAATGGAAACATCGTTCTCGACGATATTCTCGCGAACGTTGTCGTTGCAACGTTGATTCGCGGAAAGCGAATAGAAGGAAATGACGTGGGAAAGAATCGAGAAAGGAATCGCGTATTTATCTTCTCTCCGATCCACTCTCATCCAGGCTTTAGTTCTAGAGGCGCGGAATCGTGGCAGCACTGCCACCGAGACTCGAAATCAATACTCGGTGTGCGTGAGTCTGGCCTGTCGCAATCCTTGCAACGCGATATTACAACACGCAGAAAAAAAATGCGACACCGGTATTGCGCCGTATCTGTGACCCGATTCGAATCATCGCTGGGAACGAGATCGGCAACCGTGTACCGCCGATCTTCTGCGGTCTTCCACCCTTAACCGAAACTCTCTCTCTCTCTCCTCTTTCTTTCTCTCTCTTGAGAGCACAACCGGGATCTCCTTTATCGCGTGACACGCCGCATCACGTTAATTCTCACGCGACCATTTGTACAGATTACCGCAATAACGGAGGTTGAATCTCGCGCGCCCGAGATTCTTCTCTCGTCGATCGCGTACGAGCGCATGGATTACGGGTGAAAAAGTTGTCCTACTTGAGGGGTGAGGGAAAAACTAGGAAAAACTGTGTGATCGAGGTTGGCACGGATTCGATGGATGGCTGCCAAGTATTTCGATCATCGAGCGGCCAACCGGTCACCGACCTTCGCGATCGGAAGAACAACCCTCTACCTACTGCGACGCCTACGCGCTGAAACGAGCGTATAATTCACGCTCGTCGAATTTTTTCCATATACGTTTCCATCGAATCTGAACCAAGTTGAGAAACATCGTCATCATTTATCGTCGAGGGAGGAATTTTCCTTTTTCGCCAGTTTCCAATTTTTTTCCGTTCGAACGGGACGGAATCGATGACGATTTGGAGAGAAATGATCGGGGAGGGAGGACGAAGAGGAAGGATAATCCCGGATCTCGCAATGGAGGAATCGGTCGACCGGTAACGAAAAGGGTGGGAAAGGTAGGATGGAGAATTTTGTGGTAGGGTAAGGTTACTGACCTCGGTGCTAGCGTTATCGAGCGGGTCAGTGGGTCGCAGAACCACAGAGCACATCACTCCCCTCCCCTCCTGGACGTTCCACCCATCCGGGTCTCCTACCTCTCGCCGTTCCGGATCCTCCTCCCGTGGGAACGCAGCCGAATGTTCGCTCTTCCAACTTTCGGGCGACGAGAGTTTCGCTCTCTTTCTCTCTCTCTCTCTCTCTCTCTTTGGAATTAAAAACTTATCGGCAGAGACAGAGAGGCGATCTTGCGGTCGCGTGGAAGGGGAACGGGTTGAAAGCGATAGTGAAACATCTCCTCGAGATGGAAGGTGAAACGGTACGATACGTTCGTTCCATAAAATTATAAATTGTGAGAGAGTTGAACGCCGTCGGTTCAAATTTTCGGAGGAATTGATCGCGAAAACGAGGGTTTCGGGATAGCGCACGCGTTCTCCATACTGAAATTCACAAAAGACAAGCGGCAACCCCCGCTGACGACGATGCAGGACGAGTTACCGGCAAAGGGTGCTTCACCGATTCTCGCCAACTGTGGATTGTGCTCGAACGTAGAATGAGAATGAGAGAGAGAGAGAGAGAGAGGGGCGTACAAAGGCGGCTCGTAAATGCATCGATGCCGCGTCTTCAGCATCCGCTATTATGTCCGGGAGGCTGAGAATAGATCTGAAAGGATATTTAAATAACCCAAGATCGTGGGGATAAAAATGGAAAAAGAGGACGTTGCCTGAATGTTTATCCACGGTTTATCGTTGGCGGAGCTGGCTCTGAATGAACGGTCGCGCAAAAAACTGGAAGGAAGGACTGGAGGAATTTTCGTTCGTCGCGTTGCGACTCCCGAATCGAAAGTGCGTGCACAGAGGATTGAAAGATCTTTCTTCGGTTGGAGAGAACCCGCCTCGATGGAGAGGTTCGCGAACGCTACTCCGAAAACCCAGTGACCGCGATTACTGGGTTGGAGGAACGGCGGAGAGAGTCGAGGCGAGAATTGGTGGAAAAGTTGAAAAGGAAAACGCGGGAGGGGGTGGCTCGTATTTCCCTTCGAATCGAGATATACGGGGGAACGAAGCGATACTCGATCGAGTATTCCGTAGCGATCACCAGATGGAGTGGAGAATGAAAGGAAAGAGGAACAGAGAGAGAGAGAGAGAGAGAGAGAGAGAATGGCGTAAAGAGAAGGGAAGGAGAGAAGGGAGGAATTCGCGACGCGACGCGAGGTTGGAAGGGAAGAAAGGGAAGAGGAATGATGGTGGGAGCGGTGGCGGAAAGGAGACGGAAGGAGCGAAAGGGGTGAAAAAGACGGGGCGTGGGGAAAGATCGGGGAAAGGAGACGAAAGATATCGGGGAGAAAAAGAGGGTTTGGACGCGAGAGAGCGGTACAGAGTGAAAGCCGCGGATCCCAGTGCGCTTGTGCAAGAAGCTGCCGCTGCCCGGGAAGAGACCTCCCGGCCAGCCTCAGTCTCCGGGATGCTGGGGGCGGCGATCGTGATTCTACCCCCATTTCATCGTGCTCCGATAACGCAGTCCATCTCGCTCGGCTGCTGTCCGTCCGTCCGTCCGTCTCTCCCGTTCCTCTCGGATTAACCCTCGACGCCTCTGTTTACGTCCGCTATATCGTAAGCTAGAGCCTAACTCCCTCTCTCTCTCTCTCTTTCTCCCTCCCTCTCCCTCTCTCTCTCTCTCTCTCCCGTCCTTCGCTTGTATCCGCCTAGTCCTCTCGATCCCCTCTCCTCTCGGAACGCCACCAACTTCCTCTTTCTCTCGCCGACCTTCCATCCTCCATCCCTTCTCCGTGTCTCCGCTTCACACCCTTTTCCGCCGAAGCTTGGGTGCAGTCACCGCGAGAACCTTCAGCCAACCACCTCTCCAGCAGGTGAGCTTTCTTGGCCGTGGCCGCTCGGTGACTGGACAGTTGGTTGGTTGGTTTCGTTGGTCGCCGCGTCGTCTGCGTTCGTCGAGGTGTGTGCATCGCACTCGGTTGGTAATCGTAGCCGCGCGTCGTAGCCCGTCGCCCGTCGTCGTGCTCGTCGTCGGTCAGTCATCCGGAGCGAGAGCGCTCGATCCTCCTCCACCGGCCTCAGCTTCGCTCGTGTGCACGGCATTTTCCATTAGCTCGTTCGACCAAGTGCGCGGGATCAGAGAGAGGGAAAACCTTTGGAGTGGCCCACGTCCTTCCTTCCTTCCTTTCTTCTTTCTCCTCTCCTCTCTTCTCTTTGTACCCTCGTGGCGTTCGATCCGTGGCTGCGAACCTCCCCTCCACCCTCTCTCAATTTCTAGCCCCGAAATCTAACGCGACCCTTCCTTCTTCGTTTCCTGTGGGGACGAGGACCAACGAATGGACCCTCGTGCAGGTCGATAACTTTGCTCGCGGAACGAAGGAGAGATCGCGTCCTCTCGATATCGAGATCGAAGATTAATCCGTTTGAGGTTGCCACGCGGCAGCTTCGTCGCATCGACTTGTCGTTCGGAGAATTAACCCGTGGTTAAAGTTCGTTCCTTTGCCGATCGTCCTTGAAAGGGACGCGAGGCAAGGCGCAGGAGGTTTCAAGAGCGATCTTTGCCGAGCGAGGAGTCGAAGGGACGAAACGCGCAGGCGTGATCCGCGGAATCGAATGAACGGACGGCAACAATTTGGGGAGAGAAAGAGATAGATAGATAGATAGATATACAGACATATAGATAGATAGAGAGAGAGAGAGAGAGAGTTTTCGACTGCCCTCATTTTCGGAAATGATGCCTCCGAGCCTCGCATCCGAGTCGACTCTGTTTCGATCAGCCTCCGATCGACCAACCCGATTCGATTCCTCCCTTAGCTCTTGTGCCATCTTCGAGACAGGGCGCGAGTGGCGTGGAATTTTCGAAAACGATAAATCTCGGAACGGAATCGATCGCTCGGCCGCGCGCAATCTCGCGGGATCACTGCTGCTCGGGATATCATCGCGCGGCGCTCTGCGAGACGTTCGCCAAAATGGCGGGTACGGCGGCGTGCGCGATCGGTCTCCCGCCGGTGTTGGAATAAAATTGGCGCGGCGGTGTTGGATCTCCGGTTAGGAAAAAGGAAAGAAAAAAGAGAGAGAGAAAAAAAAAAAAAAGAAAAAAGAAAAAAAAAAAACGGTGGTGCTTTTCCCGGTGAGATCCAGTCGTGTGTTTTGCCGATCGTTAGGGTCCATTGCGAGAGGAGAAGTGATCCGCGATGGTGGGTGGTGGTGATTGCAAGGTCGCCACCGTGGAGGTGGAAGCAGCCGCTGCGGACAACACGGCGACGCTCCCCGTGACCAGACCCCTGAATCCGCAAAACAACTCGTCGCCAAACGCGCAGGACAACGCCGAGAAGAACAACGCGGCGAACAAAGAGATGGAGCTGAAGAACGTGCGCTCGACCCCAGCGAAAAAGTAAGAGATCCCGGCTGTAGACGTAGAGAAAAAAATCATCCACAACCGACCGGGGGGGAGGGGGAGGAGGGGAGAAGGAAACGACTTCTTCCGTGTTTCTTTCCTCGCTTTTTTTTTTTTTTTTTTACTTTTCTTCCCATCTCCACGTTATTACACACGTAGCACGTAACCGCAATCGCTCGTTTTCGCAATCCTTTTACAGCGCTTTTGTTTATTCTTTTTTTTTTTTTTTTTTTCTTTCTTTTCCGTTCAATCGAGGAGATCTTCGTTCGCTACGCCAGAGAACAAGATCCGTCGTCCGTTTTAACGAGGGATTTATATCCGAAACGTTACCCGTTTTCGTCCGCGCTGCAATTACACCGAGTGAAGAAACGAGACTAGGTCAAGCGTCCACTCGAGAAGAACTACCGTAATCTACACGCTAACGAATGGTAATTATTTAGGAGCACCGTTTTCAACCTGCCTGAAAACTCCGACTCTTCGACTTTTCTCGTTCTTCTTCTACGTTTTGTTTTGCTCACCGCTGTTGAAAAAGAGAAAGAAAAAAGAACGAAAACGAGAGAATGGGGAGGAGGGGAAATTGGGAAGATAAATATCAGAGCTGTGGTCTGTAACTAGGTCGACGTTATTATTAAAAATTCCACGAACACGTCCGCGGGTTTTTCCCCGATTTCGCGTGGCAAAATATTCCTCCGGTTCCGGTTACCTATTCGTCCATCGTTGGAATTTCGATATCGAATACTGGGTCGAACGCGTCTTTCTTCGTGGGGAAAAGCAACGTCCGGAAACGTTTCGCGTGCATCGAATCCCGGAAGACCCCCCTCCTCCTCCTCCTCCTCTTCCGTTTATCGGATTCCTGCCGAGGACGTAACGATTTTCGATCGCTCCTTTCTCTCCTCCTCTGCCGGATTTGCATTCGTCCCACGGCGCGACGCCCACGATTACGGAAAGTGCACGGCCGCAATGAGTTGAATGGGCGCAACGAGAGAAGAATAGCCTCGAATGACGCGATCGAGAGGGATCTTTGCGCGTTGATCAATTTCCGTTACAAATTTTAGATATATATATACTTTTAGAAAGGTATGCATCGATGCTTCCCAATCCGTGGGTCGTGGCAACTTTGAAGGAGGAGAGCACAAAGGATTTTCCGGCTGGTCGATGCCTTTATTTTTAGTCGACGATTTCTACCGCTATTCGTCAACGAACGAAATTTTCATCGACCCTTCGTTCACCGATCGCTCGAAGGAGTCGCGACTCGAGGAAAGCGTTCGAGAAACGCGCCTTGCCGCGGATAATTTCGCGGCTTCTTCGACGATGGAAAAAATTATTTCGATATTCCGTGGTGTATACGTTCTCCTCGGCCGTGCCATTCATTATGGAGCCTCTCTCTCTCTCTGCTCGCTCGACTCGAAACGGCGGCAAGAGGTGGAAGCTTTCGTCTCTGCGTGTCTATTTACGACGCACTTCGTTAGCTGCAGGCTGCCTACGAAGCGTCTTGCGCGTCTAGCGTGTGCATTGTACGCGGCGCCGAGTTATGCACTCGCGCACGTACACCACCTACTACCCCAAGCAACTAACCGACCGACGAGGTTGCGGCCAACGAACGAATGGAAATCATTCTCGGGAAAAGAATCGAGGAAGTGGAGCGCGAACGTATTTCGAGAAGGGACGGTTTACGCCGTGCGGTGTATCGAGGCTGGGGATTAGAGACGTGCATTAACCCTGGAAAGCGACGACACCTTCTTTATTTTCCCCTGTCTTTCCTCTTTTCTCTCTTTTCCTTTCGGCAAATGGACGTCGAGCTAAAGCTGAAGAAAGGGGGAACCTTCGGCTTGGCTTGGCTTTCCTCCCAACAACGATCCTCGCGGGACCCGTGAAAAGAGAGGATCGAAGAGAGGATGGAGACAATGGACAAACGAACGAGACACGGCCGAGAGAAGAGCGTGTACGATAACTCGATCGATAAATTAATTTTCCTCCTCCTCGAGAGAAAGACAAAAACAGAGAGAGAGAGACGGAGTATCGATCGAGCCGAGATAATGGCGCGAACTAGTTTCGAGATTTATAATTTATTAATATCGATCGAGCGGTGGTGAAGTATGACGCGTATACGACGTACGTATATAATACGCACGTTGCAAACCGATACCTTCTCGAATTACCTCTGCTCGCAATTGAATTAACACAGGTTGGAAACGAAGCTCGGTCTAGACGAGACAGTAGTATTACGGGCCCCGTGAACGTGACTGCGCATACCGCTTGTCCCCGCAAAAAGAAAACGCGAAAGAACGATCCGCCACCGAAAATAACGATTAAACACAACACGGATCCATTCTCGTAGATCGACGACAGTGCGAGCTAAAATTGTACGCGGTTAAAATAAGGAAGGATATCAAGTTTGAGAAATACACGCGTCGAATTGCAATTGGAAAATAGAAATCGGATCGGATAGATTTTTAACGATCTTTGGCTTTGACCCGGAAAAAAAGAAAAAAGGAACGCGAATATTAAAGAGGGGAGGAGGGATAGAAAGGAACGGAGAAAGAATACGGGCGTGATTGAACGCGAAGGGGAGAGGAGAAATTCGTGGAGAGGATGAGCGAGGGTGAGTCGAGAGGGTGAGGTACAGAGAGAAAGGTACAGCGGGTGAAAAGTAGGTACTTCGAGATATCGACCGTGTGCCACGGCCTCGCGGAGCCTGTGTGTACGTGCCGTGCACGTTTCCCGTTACCACTTCTCGCCGCTTTTCTTCTTGCCGTGCGACGAAAAAGGCCACACCGTGGGATACGCTCTCTTTTCTTCCTCCTCTTCTTCCTCTCCCTCTCCCTCTTCTTCTCCCTTCCTCGGCCTCTTGTCACCGCGAAAACTTTGAAAAACTTTCATCTCTCGAGGCCCTCGCCTCGTCATTGCCACCGTCCCCTTGCCTTGCCAGTGTCAAGAGATGATTTTCCGCGAGGAAGGCTCGAGTGAAAGTTTTTCGCAAGGGAATTATAAATATAACGGATCGAACGAAACATTCGTGTATTTATACAGGAATGTTTCCTCTCTTTTCTTTTTCCTCTCTTTTTTGGAAGGAAGAGAAATCGATCGAGTGTTCAAAAGTTCAAACGCGTATCAATAATAATTCCTCTTCTCCTCTCTCGTCTGTTTACATCGAATAACATTGATAGAATGAAGCTGATCGAAAGTAAAAAAAGGATGACGTGGGTAGAACAATCGAGGAAATATCAACGGGTTACGCACGAAGGAAAGAGGAGACGGAAAGAGGCGGAACGCGGAATCTGGTATCGCTATCTATGGTCTCGCTAAATATCACGATCCTTTATCCCGCGATGATCATCGAAGGGCAAAGAGAGAGAGAGAGAGAGAGAGAAAAAATGCCTGACACGAGTGTACAGGCTCGTGCGGAACACAATAAAGTCTGCGCCCCAACCCCTGAAATGCCAGCGTGACAAAGGGTGGTTAAGCCCTTCTTGACGAAGATGCACCATACCGAGCCCCTGATATTCCCGTGCAGACGTCGCGACGCTGTGCAATCGCGCTCCGCGCCGATTTTCAAACATCATCCTTCCCCTCCTCCACCCCTCTCTCCCCTTCGTTACGCGCTTCCTCTTTCGTTCGTATCCTCTCCTCTCCTCTCCTCTCCTCTCCATCTCCGCGAGGAGGTCGAAGGAAGAACGGAAGGAAGAAACGTCGTTCGTTCGCGCGATTGATCTCTAACGAGAGACACTCTCTCTCTCTCTCTCCTCCCCTTCGCGTACGCAAATTATCGATCTCGCGACCTAACCTTTTTAACGGGAGAAAAGAACGGCCGTGGCGGGCGAACTCTCGGCAGAAGCGCGAGAGTTTCGAGGCGCGGAACAAGCAGTCGAGGTCCCCGCTTCCACCATCTTTCTCGAATAGCGGATGATCGAAGTGGAGGGCGGAGAGCTTCTTCTTCTTCTTCTTCTTCTTCTTCTGTTCGAGTGGAAAAATTAAAAGGAAATTAAGGGGACGAGTGTAATCGAGGAACGTTGTGACAGAAATCGAGGGGTTTGTGGATGTCGAAGAATAACGCGCATAATAAAGCGAATCGAGGCGTGTAAACGCAGTTGAACTCGTTTCGTCGAGATATTTCGTGGCGATGAGGTAGATAACGTCGGGCCGTTTGCACGTTCCACGCGAAGCTAGAGAGAGAGAGAGGGAGGGAGGGAGAGAGGGAGAGAGGGCGATGGAAGTGGAAATCGTGGCGGAGAGCAACAATGTGAACAGATCGGGGGGTGGTGTCCCGACCCACGATAGCAGAGTACAAATAGTACGAAAGACACGGTGAGACTGGGGAGGAGAGGCGGTGTTCCTTTTTTTTTTATTTTTTGACGTGAAAGAGATGCAACGATCGCGCGACGCGAGTCCCTCCTCTTTCTTTTCTTTCTTCTTGCAGGACGTCGCTGTTCATTATCATGAGTTTCATCTACGCGAAGCTGCTGGTGGTTGTGTGCATCGCTTACGTGATAAGCGAGGTGGTCACGCACAAGCTGCCCCTCTACTACTACGAGGGATTCTTCACGTACCTGTACGGTGTTAGCATCTTATTCCTCCTGTACGTGTTCTGCTTCTTGCTGCAAGAAAGCGCCTGCTGCTCGAGGGGCAGCGACACGCCACCCCCGCCTCCGAGACCGCCCAAACCGCCCAAGGAGCCCAAGGAGAAGAACAAGAAGAAGGAGAAGAAGGACAAGGAGCAGAAGTCGTCGAAAAACAAGAAGGAATATCAGGTCGGGATCTCTCTTCATCTCCGTGGCGTTTTGATAAAATAGTAAATAGTAAATATAAACTATATACATAAGTTTCGTGGTTGCCGAGAAAAGCAAAGCCCCGTGTATTTGAAACCAAAGTTGTCGAGCCGACAATTTTAAAAGGCACGTTGACGTAAGTGGGTTACGTCTGTCGTCATCCGCTAGAATGCACGTGTTACATCTCCTCTCTTCTCCTCCTCCTCCCCCTTATTCATTATCGCGTGGATCCACTTGTGAAACTGAAACTCGGCAATTTCGTCCTCGTTGAAATTCACCGCTCTTTTCGGGGTCGAGGCGACCGAAATTGTCTTAAAATTGACTCGAGTCGAGAAATCGAACGGCATACGAGGATGGCTTATTGAATTATTAACGATGGCCGATGATTCCAGGACGCGGCTGATGTCGAGGCTGGGGTTGCCACTCGGGCACTGAGGAAGCGGAAAACTTCGCAGAACGACCAGAGCCATGGAAGTTTTTTCCTGAGAATCGGTGCCATTGGTGAGGGAATGGAATTTCGAATCTCGAATTATTTTGAAAGAAGAAAAAGAAAAATAACGAATCCTTTCTTCGCAGCTTTTGGCCTGGGTACAATGGTCTACAACGGTTTGGAATTCGGCACCTTCTTCGAGGTGCCACCCACATCGCCGTGCTACCAGATCCTCCAAGGCGTGAATCCAGTTCTCCAAATGATTTTCACCTTCATGCAGATGTACTTCATCTTCATGAACTCGAGGGTAGGGTAAAAGAACTCTTCCTCGATTAACTTTCTCGAGCATCCGAGATTGATCGTCCGTTCCTTCTCAGCTCAACATTCATCGCTTCAAAGTGATCGCTCGTTTCGGTCTGATGCACGTGGTGGCCACCAATCTCTGCGTCTGGATCCGCACCCTGGTGTTGGAAAGCATCAAGGAGATCACGAAGCATCACCAGAAAATGGGCCAATTCGAGGCGGGCATTCTTGGTAAATCGATCGCACGATAGATATCGTTTCGCCAAAAAAAAAAAAAAAAAAAAAAAAAAAAAAANAAAAGAGAGAGACAGGATCTCGCTAATCTGAATAAAAAATGAAAAACGTTTAGAGAGTATCAAACAGCACTCGATGAGGAACGCCGGTGCCATATTGGGAACGGCGCCCAGGGACGTGGCACTTTTGCGCGAGGCGCCATTAACAGCGACGAGGTCGTCCACGGTTCCAACGTCGGTCGCGAGCACCATAGCCGCCTCGTTCGGTCGAATGATGAAAACTACGGCGAGGGCGATCGCGAGGGCCGTCACGACGCCGACCTCGACCACCACCACGGGCTGGAACCCGCCGACCTCGATGACCACCTCCACCTCGACCCCTCAGCCCAGCTTGACCACGACCACTGCCAGCACTCTGACCACTTTTCTAACCGCCCTCACGCCGAAAACCACCACCGAGGAGAGGACCACCCCGACCACTCCCGCTACGACCACCACCTCCACTACCACCACCACCACCACCACCACCACCACCATCACAAGCACCAACATACCTTCCACCACCTTGTCGTACTTCGTCCAACTGTTCGACGCGCCCCAGGCGGACAACAAAGAAGAGGTAAAAACGCGATCTTTCCGATTTCGTATCGTACGACGCGAGATCGATCGGAATAAATCGTTTTCTGTAATTCTTCTCTTCTCAGATCAACCAGATACATCAGATCTTCGACCTGAACAATCAAACGAACAGCAGCGAATATTGGAGCCCGAGTTTCGGCGCGTACGCGGAGGCGTTAACGGACGAGGAGATGGCGTCGAATTCGTGCGGCCGGGTGAATATCATGGGTACGATCGTACAGGACGCCGAGCCGTATCTCTTCCCGTTCATAATCGAGTACAGTTTGATCGGGGCGGCGGTGATCTACGTGATGTGGAAACACATCGGGCGGCACCCTCGTTGGCCGCATCAGGTGGAGGCCGATCTCGAGCGGCGGCTCGAGGCCATGCTGTCCCGAAGAGCGGTCGCGTTGGCTCACGCGGGTAATCATACAATTACGCCCTTTCGAACAAACCGATAGTTTCGATTCGACTCGTGTGAAACTAAAAACTGGATCTCCCGACTGGAAAAAAAATAGGTCACACAAGGGTGGACTGTGTAGGGGCGAGCAAAGGGCTGTTCTTCGGCCTGTTGCTGCTGGTCGGCTCGCTGATCTGCCTGATCCTGTTCTTCGTGCTGATCCACCATCCGGACTTCGGCCTGGTCGCCATTTACCTCGCGGACGTGTCCCACTGCGTGCTAATGGTCCTCTCGATCGTGGCCATTATCGTGGGGTTCATACGGGTGCAGAGCTTGAAGTTCAAGGCCGAGGAGCAAAGCGACCTGAACGACATCCTCCTCCGCGTGTCGGGCTTCGGCCTGTTCGTCTACGCTGTGTTCAGCGTGATCGCCGGCTCGTTGGCCGCGTTCACCCACGAACCTAACCTCCTCGTCATGCTTACCGGCCTCCTCTCGGTGGCGCAGGTCATCCTCCAGATGCTGTTCATTGCGGACGTGTCACGCAGAAGGGTCCACTTGCCGGAGCACGATCGCAGCAAGCCCGGCAGGCAGGTGGTCACCTTCTTGCTCATCTGCAACCTGACCATGTGGGTGATCTACACGTTCGAGTCGCAGAAAGTGATGGCGAACCCGGTCCAGCTCGACTTCTACGGCTTCCTCGCATGGGCCATCGTGCAGAGGGTCACCCTTCCGCTCTGCATCTTCCACAGGTTCCACAGCGCGGTCACGTTCGCGGAGATATGGAAGACGAGCTATAAGGCGCGCCTCGATTAGACGAGGGGATCGTTGGTTGGGATCAACGGAGCCCGTCGTGCGATCGTCGTTCGCGAATCGAGAATCGAGAGAGAGGGGAGAGGCCGCTCGATCGATCCTCTCGATCGTCTCCGTCTAAGGGACGATCGGAGGAAGGGACGGGCAGGGATGACTGGTGGCCGGGCTGGTCGATCAATCGGACATATCTCGGAGAAATGTATATCGGAGGCAGGCTGCGGCCTCTCTCGAAATCTCGAAATGATCGGCGAGGATTGGGGAGGATGCGCGACAGCGAACACGCTTGCTTCATCACTCGGGATCGAGAAAATGTCGGGAGGGTGGGTGGAAGTACGAAAGGCGCCAAGGTGTGTGTGTCGATGGTCGAGGCTTCGCGCGGAAACCGCAAAGTCGTTACGGGAGGATCGCGAAGCGTCGTTTTATTTTTTTACGCGCGTTTGCATGCATTCGTTAGCCTCGGTTCTCTTTGCTTGAAACAGCTTGGACGGTTGCTTCCTTGATCGGTAATGTCGGGCGGGAGAGCACGGATCAGGAGGAAACAGATCGATCGAAGAAAAAGAAATTAAATTTCGGATAGGTAAAAAACGGATAACTTTGAACAGATCGTGTTATTCGTTGAGAAGCACAAAAGAAAAAAAAAGTAATAAGAAAAGCAGGATCTAAAGAACATATACACGAACACGCACGCACGCACACGCATACACAGATACAGTGTACAATACAGTGCAATGCCACGATCACGAAATAGGGCCCATTTCCTTTCACCGTGTTTCACACCTTTTACGATCTCTATTATATACTGCCGTCAAATTTTCTACTTTTATATATTATATATGTACCTTCACCCTCTTTCCCCCCCCCCATCGTGCATCGAGAACGTTTAAGAGTTCGATTTTCACTCTTCGTTAACCCTCGATCGTTTTTTCGAAAGATTCGCAAGATTTGGATTTTGGATTTCGACTTTCGAACGATATCAGAGAAGAAAGGATTTTTTTCGAAACATCGTGGCAATTAATTATATAGAGAGGTATATACGAAGAGTGGAATCATCTTCTTGAAGCGATCACCTCATATTAGCGATCAAGTACATTCTTCGTTAGCATGGCCCGAGATAGTTTTAGGTAAATAGCCGCCGTGTGATCTCTTTCTCGCGAGAAAAAAAAGGATGGAGGGAAGAGCGATGAACAATCGAAGAGAGAAAGAGAGAGAGAGAGAGAGAGAAGAGACTCGATGCAGGAACAGGGTAATTTCGTTGCGCCGCAAGTCGAGCGAATTGACACGACGCTTTTTTTGGTATATCGCGGATGGATACGCATTCTTTTGTTCGAACAAGATTGGACGAAGCTTGTCCGCTTTGTCGACCGATTTGACGAAAGAAAATCAAAGAGGGAGAAGAAGACGCGCCAAAAAAAGAAAGAAGAAGAAGAAGAAGGAAAGGAAAACAATTCCAACGTTCTTTCTCGTTGCGTGCTGCAAAGTACAAAATTGTTTCTAACTTTTAGAATCTTTTATCGACACGACCCTTTCGACGTTCATACTTCAAAAAGAGCGTGTATACCGACGAATATCGAAGTCGCAAACGAACGAAAGTGAGATAAAGAGAAGAAAATAGAGGAATAAAGGACGAGGAGAAAAGCGACGACGATGCGCGGGGGAAAAAGAATCTTGTATAAAGGGTAAAAGCGTATTTTTTTCTTTTTTTTAAACAAATTCGAACACTCGAGGCATACTCGAAGATGTTCGAATCACGGTAGGGAGGGGACAATGACGAATGTAGATTTTATCGCGAGATTAAGAGATTAAAAAGTAACGAAATATCATAGACGAAGTTTTAAGATGGACGTGTAAAGGAAGATTATACGACGAGAAGATAAAAAAAAAAAAAAAAAAAAATTATAGTCGGTACACTGGTAGTGAATCTTACACATACACACAGTCACCACGTACCATTCACGGAAGTTTATTAATAATTACCATGGTCGATTAGCTTTTAATGCCATCTCTCGGGAGAGATCGAACGAGATAAGTGGAACTTTCACATTTATATTCGCTATGAATATCGTAGATCGTTCGAAACACACACACACACACACATACCATGGAGAGAACACACACGCGTTTAAATAGTCGTTATACATTCGAAAAAAAAAAATCCCTCCACGGATCCCGTGAAACTCATAAAAGAAAAAAGAATCCAAACCTATTTCCTAACAGGAAAAAAAAAAAAACAAATAACCTGGTCGAAGTATGTACCTAGCTCTATTCGAGTCTAAATATTTTAATTCTTAGACGTATGTATGTAGGTGAAAGAGAATTAAATGAGAGGAAACGGGGTGTGGAAACGAGAGGGACGAAGTTGTGACACTAATTATACATAATTGTAATCCGAGACGACATTATTATTAAAAAGGTAACACGATATAAATATGAAAAAAAAAAAATTTAAAAATATATTATATATATATATATATATATAGATAGATATATATATATAAATATAAATACATTTATGGAGATCTTTTATTGACTTCGATGTGCGCGACTGCGAATTGAGTGATGCGAATATGTAAATAACGATGCACAGTAAGGTATTGTTCAGCAGAGTGTCTGTGAAACGAAGAGCAATTATGTTTTGCGAGTTCTGTTCTCGAGGCATGTTTTCGACGGAAAGAGGGTGCGCTTATATATATATATATATATATCCCTTAATCATTGTGATCGAGCCCTCATCAAACCTCTTCTTGAAAGTTCAAAGAAAAAAAAAAAAACCTCATCGACATTATTCCTCTCGTCGACGAATATTTTACGATTAAATCGATCAATCTTTGTCAAAATTGACGAAATGGTCCGCACCCTCTTACCCCTCGATTTCCTCGTCTCAACCGCGAAAAAAAATTCATATTTGCCCATTGATTTCATTAAGGATCAAAAAGAAAAAAAAAAGAAAAAAAAAGGAAAAAAAGGAAAAAAAAAAAGAAAAAGAAGAAAAAACAAAGGAAAAAAAAAAAAAGAAAACAAGCGTTCGTTTGATCTTTCCTCCGCTCGAATCCCGAAATCTTTTCACCAACGCTCTGCGCGAGAATCACAGCGTGTATCGAAAGATCGGGAAGAGAAAGAAAGGGGATGCGAGTCCATAGGAACAAGGACAATATAACAAGTATTCGCTAGAACGTTTGCATAAAGAAAAAAAGAAAAAAAAATCATAGTTAACAAGGCACTGCCACACACAGGACCAACAAAAAAAGTCGAGAAAGTGATGATAGGGAAGAATAGGTGGGAGGGAAGAAGAGAGAGCAAGAAAAGCAAGAAGAGGAATACGCGAAGAGAAGGACGAAGCATGGAACGCGAATAGATGGAACCAAAAAAAGAAAATAATAATAATAATAATAATAATAATAATAATAATAATAATAATAATAATAAATAATAATAATAATAATAAAACGGGGATTTTCGAGCAGAAATGGAGAACAAGCGAAAAATATAATATAAATACATATACGAAGCCAATACCCTTCCAACGTTTATCGAGAATGCGTGTATCGGAGTGAGTGAGGAAAATACGTATGCGCGAGTGATTGAGAGCAACGGTGCACGTGCGACACGTTTTTATTCGGCAAACAACGTCTTTGTATACTCTGCCCGTGTTCTAGAGAACAGGAGGATCATGGTTCTTGTGTATGTACATCAGTATCTCGATAGTAGCCGTAAGCCTAATCAATGAGTCGCGGATTTGCCGAGAAAAATCGATTCAATTTCGATCGAGAGACACGGGAATCCTCGATTCGAGAGAATCGCACGTGGAATTGCATGGAATTCGTTGAGAGTATAATTAGAGCGAAGAAGTCACTTCTTCTGTTTAATTATTTCGAGTAAGGGCGACGAAGGGAAACGGAGAGGGAGAGAGAGAAAGAGAGAGAGAAAGGAAAGAAAGAAAACCGCGAGGGGCTCGATGCAAAGGCAAATCCGCGACACCTCGTCATTTAACATTACGTAGTGAGTTTTCGATGTCTTCGAGCATAATTACAGTTTGTACACATACACAATACGCGCGCACAACCGACATACTCATCACTCTATCAGATAGATACGATAATAGGGAGGGAGGTGGCAAATGGAAGATTTCACGCGGACAATGGGATTAGAAGTAATGTTTCAACACGCAAGACACAAAGGATAAAGAGGAGAGAAAAAAAAAAAAAAAAAAAAAAAAAATACTTCTACAAATTACATGTTGTCGTGTATGCAGTTTCTTGAAGTCGAGTAGCGACGAATACCACCGTAAACATTCGTAAAAATTCGCTCATTCATCAATTCCCATTTTGATTGTATAACGTTGACACGCCGTTTCTCATTGTAATCCGTTGAGGCGGCACGATCATCGTGTCGCCGTCATTTGTAACAATATACGATTATATTGGTTAATAAAAGTTATCTAGATGTAACATTGCTCTCGAGTTTTAAGTATGTCTCTGATGAATAATTAATCTAATAATTTTCTTATTTAATTGCGCGTGCATCCCACGATGCATTGTCCTACGATAATAATCCCATAATAATGTCGAACGATGAGAGCATACGCGTAATATGGCACTTGCAGTCCGATCTAACAATAAGTGAATAACATAATATGATACCAATCCAGTTTAACAATAAGTGAAACGAATAATCAAAAGAAATCGTGCAAGATTTAAACTGAACTGCAAATGTGCGTAGTTCTTAGCTTGGTATTGTTTTTCAGAAAGTATTATTAACGAGATACTTTTAATGTTATCTAAATTATTTTGATAAGATGAATTTTTAAGAAAAAAATTTCAAAAAAAGAATTTTGAAAAACGATGCTAATTATCAGATCTAACCAACCCGTCGAGACCTGTCTATGAAAAATACGATATAAAGTATAAGGAAGTGAGGAAAAAAAAATTAATTTAAAAGATAAAGTGACAAGAACAGTTTAAAACGTAAGAAAAAAATGAAATAAGAATTTAAAAATGAAAAAAAGGGAAACATAAATCAAAAATTTAATATAATTAGTAATCAAATTAATAATACCAGTAAAATTATTTAAATTTTAAAAATTAAAAATATTAACAAAAAAATGTAAGATAAATATTAAATATTGGAAAAATCTCACAACAATTTCAAAACAATTTCAACACCCGAGCATACGAAAGAGAGAAAAAAACTTGAAAATCCTGAGATTTTTATTAAAAAAAATATTTAAAATAATATCTACTTTTTTCTTTAACAGATTTATATTCTTTGATTTATCATCTAAT